TATAATCATAAGAAGGAACCCCAAAATAGTATTGGTAGTTATGTAGTTCCCTAAATTACACGTAACTATGGGACGAAGACCGCAAGACCTTAGACCCGAGACGCAAGAACCCCCAAAAACCATAAGCCCTAAACCCTCAAACTGCGAAGCCCGAGGCCCCGAAACCTTGTAGAACCCGCGATAAACAGCCTTCACAACCCTAAACTTCTAACCCCTCAACGCCACCCTAAACCCTAATCTCTACATCCTAAACCCTACACTCTATACCCTAAACCTTAAACTCTATACCCTAAACCCTAAACTCTATACCCTAAACCCTAAAACCTAAACAACCGCAGGACAATTTCCTTCAGCCCCCAGTCGATCAAGGCTCACCCGTGCAGTCCCAGGTGCTCGGCTGGGCGCTGTTCATCTCAAGATCCTTCCGAGCTTCCAAGTTAGCATGTAGGATTCAGGGTTTCGGGCCTTTCTCTTGAAGGATTTATGAGGATTTTGGGGTGTCGGGGTCTTTTAAAGTGTTTACCAAGGTTTCTACAAAGGGGACTGTAGGCCTGTAGGGCTCAGGGTTTAGTCAAATTCGTGGTGTGTAGGAATTAGGCTCTATAGGGTCTTCAGGAGCTGGAGTCTAAGGTTTAAGAGCAATATAGAAGCCTAAATCATTACCAATGTCTCTTGGGGGCTCCATACTATGATTATACAAAAAAAGGAAACCCAAACCCTATTCTACTTATTATTAAGGCCCCTATATTAAGCTCAAACATCGCAGGCCTTGCGACACTGCAAACCCGTCTGAAGCCCTGCAAAGCACTGGGGAACACCAACACCAATGGGTTTAGGGTTACACCTGCAGCTCTAAGATTCTTCAACAGCTCTTCACCCAGATTCAAAACCAGCAACACCAGCTGTGGTAGGCCTAAGCCCAACAACCCTGAACCCTAAACCGTAAAGCCCTCAACCCATGAACCCCAATCCCAGAACCTAAACCCTAAACCCTAAACCCTAATCCCAAACCCTGAACCCTGAACCCTAATCCCAACACTGAAATTAGACAGAGCACTGCATCTTCAAGCTCGGCTCGCAAGGCCGCCGAATCTTCAAAGTCGCTTCGCAAGGCGGTGCCCAGCCACACGCAGAAGACCAATCGTGGCATCATGGTAGTAACCTTGGCTTAGGGTTGAGGGCATCATGGTAGTAGCCCTGGTTTAGGCTTGGGGTTTAGACATGTAGGGCTGTCTTCTTGTTGAGGGCGCTTTCGGAAGGTTTGGAGATTAGGGCTTGGAGGCATTGGGGCTTGAGGATTTGTGGTGCAGGGTGTAGGATTACGTAGGACTTCAGCATAGGAAGTACGAACTACCTAGGACTGCACGAGGACCAGTGCTGCGATCATTACGATCACGCTGCTCCAGGGCTCTATTGGCATGTCGCTATCCTCAAATGGTAATGTCGGGGCCTTGATAATTAGAATGGGGTTTTGGGGGTTCCTTATTATAATTATAGTATAATGGGCCGGCCCAAGGTGAGATGAAGCTTCTTCAGGGCAAGGGAACTATCTTCCTCCTGGTGCTTGAGGACGAATTGGAAAACACCGTAAGGGCTACTATAATAAGGCATCATATAGGGATAGTTTCAGTAAAGCTTTGGGGTATGTTGAAACACATACATATTTACATATTTACACATGTATGTCTTTGGATACAATCACTCAATATATCTATATATATATGTACACACAAGTAAGGGTGCAGCCTTAATTTTGTAAAGTTTCGAGGTGTATTGTACTGCCTTTAGATAAGGACTATAAGATGACCTTACTATCAAGTACTCGAACCTTTAAACTCCCTCTTGCCGCAGTGCCCTCAGCTCTGACTCCTAGGTTTCATTGACAATTCGGGTTCCTCGCAAAGTTCGGTCCAAAGAGGCGCCTGAACAGTCAGAACAAGCTTTGGAGTAAATTATGCCATAGTAGTAGAATGGGTAGTCCTTCCGGCTTCTATACTGTCGTGTGCGCAGCATTGAGGTGCCTATCTGAATGATTTTGCCAGCGTAACAACAGCCTCGAAAGAAACGATGACCTCGAACAACCCCCCTACTTGCACCACGCCAAAGTGGCAAAATGTACTTGTAGTTTGGCAAGCTGACGGAATCCTGGGATTCGTGTGGAGGGACTCGATCTGGTGTTCGGTGCAGCGCTTCGGGTCCCGACGCCCGCATGCTGAAGCTAACGAAACAGAGGTTTCCTCCCTAAATGCTCTTAAAGCCATGATAAAGCCCATATTTCTATCAAGCCCTTGTAGCTCTATTATACTACACTTGTTAGTTGTTCCGGTCGGACAAGCTTGACTTTTAGAAATCGGGCTTGGGGGGCTGAAGCTTCGGGTTTTGGGTTGGGGATCTCAGTCTGATGGTAGCCCGCAGAAACATTTTCCTACAATACTGCGGGGTTTAGTACTGCTGATATCTACAAGTACGACTTAGAGGTTCATGGGTAGTTATAATTTAAAAAGTAGGATTATAAGTAAGGTAACTGTAGTTATAGCCAATATTAGGGGACTTACAACGCCACTTATAACTACCCATGAATCTCCAAATAGGGTTTCGGGGCCAATGGGAATCACATGGCTTAGCTTCAGCACGGAGGCCGAGCCTTCGTGTTCCCAGTTCATGCAGGGTCAATCACATAAACCCTAAACCCTGGCCCTTACCCTAAACCCCCAAACATAAAACCCCTGGACCCACAAGGATTCTCTGAACTGCAGCAGAAGCTCGCCACAAGGGTGGCGCTCTTGTTGGCTTTTTGAACCAACGCTGTGCTGAGGGCTTGTTGGGGTTGGAGCTCAGGGTTTAGGGTTCGGGGTGTAGGGCTAACCTTCGTGGAAAAAAAACATGTGCTGCTTTGGGGCTTAGCAACATACCCCAAAAACCATAGATAAGCCCCAAAGCACATTGGCTTCTCGAGGGCCCTCTACAATAGGCTCCAAAACCGAATTCCTGAGTCCAGGAAAACCGAAGTACCAGAGGCCCCGAAACGTCTAGGCATGCTCGTTTTGTTTGTGGCTTCCGGCTTCTGGAAAGCTGATGGCCCCAAGCCCAAAGAGGACGATATGGGAGGTCTCGCAGAGAAGCCTTCAAAAAATCACCCCTATGGTGGAACAATATACCCTGTACACCATACTGAGGATCTCTCTGTAAGTAAGGGGGTATCCCTTCCTTCCGAAGCCTAAGCTCTAAACTCTAAGTCTCTAAATCCTGTTTGAGTCCCCTTGCCATGAACCCTGAACTCTGAGCCAAAAGCCTTAAGCCTGCGTTCCTGAACCTTTACCTGAAACCCTCAACTAATGAACACTTCAACCCATAAACCCTTAAACCCTAAACTCAACCCTAAGCCCGAAACCTCCTTAAAACTCCCTGCCAGAGACCGCTTTTCGCCGTGCTCAGCCGAGGAACCCTCCTTCAGTCATGTCAGCCGCTTCTTCTCGACTCAGCCCCCCCCAAGCATGGCAAAGGTCATCTTCCTTATCACGAAAATTGCTCGTTGTTACTAATTACCCGTTTAAGGGTTTGGGGCTTAGGAGTTTAGGGTCAACTTCAGTAGACCATCATTGCCAGCATCTCGATTCTGCAGTTGTTCGTCTTGAAATCGGACTGCCAAGTGACTCCTCATGCCCGTGCGACGCTACATCTCTACCATCCGGTAGAACCCTGCAGAACCGATGAAGTTTCACCGAACCCTTAAGTATTGATGAAACCCTTACAAACCTAACGAACCCCTACGAGGCCCATGTGCAACCCTGTAAGACTCTGTCGGATTTCTTACAAAAACCATCAAATCCTCACTGACCCGAAGCTAGGTGGGGCTGCGAGTCGCAAGCAGCTTCACCTTGTCCGTCGGAGACTCACAGCAGGGAACGTCTCCGAGCAGCTTTGGTTTAGATTTTTGCTGACCTTTTTCCTCAGGGTTTAGGTTTTAGGGCTTAGGGTCTAAGGTTTTGAGGCTTTGTGGGTTTTCAAGCTGATTTGTCATGATTCAGACTGGTTTGAAATCCTACTCGACACCCCATTCCCCCGACCCGAAGTCTGCAACTTTCCTGAAACCCTAAACCCTGCAAGGTGAGACCCCAAAATGTATATTTAAACTTACTCTAAACCCTAAACCTTTACCCTGCAACGCTTTACACAACTCGCAATTGACTTCCGGCCTCGGACATGTTCCCGCACAGATCGGACTTAGGGAATTCAATGGTTCAGCCGCCCAGAAATCCAAACAGCATCAGGAACGGCTTAGGGTTTAGGGTTTAGGAGGGATCACAAGGTGTTTTATAAGACCTTCTTTTGAGATATTTTGAGGTTCTCAAACGTGGTGTGAAAATCCGTGCGTTTTAATTCTTGGACTTGTGAAAGGCTTGGTGCAACTCAGACGAAAGTCCTCAAAGAACCGTAATGAACAATGGCCCCCAAGCAGCATTCCAACATTTGTTGCATTACCGTGGGGCTCTCTGTTGATGCGAGGCCCATCGCATCGGCTGAACCAAAGATCCTTAGTCACCTTCAGGTTCATGGGTTCTTGTATTTGGGATTCCCTCAAAGTGGCATAACACCACCATAAAATGAACCTCAACCCCTAAACCCAAATTTCCATATAGAATCCTCATGGGACCCCTTAATTCGAATCCCTAAGGCCTAACACACCTAAGCCCTAAACCCTAAACCCTAACCCCTAAACCTTAAAACACCTAAACCCTAATTCCTGGAACCCTAAACCCTAACCCCCAAAACCCTAAAACACCTAAACCCTATAAACCCTAACTCCTGGAACCCTAACAATCCTAAACACCCTAATTCCTGGAACCCTAAACCCTAAACCCTTAAACCCTAACCCCTAAACCCTAATTCCCCTAACCCCTAAAACCCCTAAAACCCCTAAAAACCCTAAAACCCCTAAAAACCCTAAAAACCCTAATTCCTGGAACCCCCTTGCAAAAACCCGGAAAAATCTACGAAGATCAGCTCAGGTAGGCAAGGCCACCCCGGGAGAGAGCCCAAGTCGGCGCGACGCGGAAGAAGGCCTAAAACGGCCCAACGGCGTATTGTTAAAGTATATATATATATATGCGCATATATAAAAATATATATATGTAATATAACATGTATATATGTGTGTGTCTCTCTCTCTCTATATATATATGTGTGTGTGTATGTTATATGTTGTATAACATGTTCATATGGTTATATTTTCATTATGTATAATATATTGTACGTTACATAATACATGATACAATCTATACGCAATGTAGTATATATCATATTGTAAATTGTATATAATATTTTTAGACTGTCTTTTATGTGTCAAACATTATGTATTCAGAACGGACTGTTGTGAGGTGGATGTTTCGACATTCAGGCATCGGCCATTTGAGGTTAGCTTGGAGATTCCTCACACCAATGCTATACAGCGTATCACGACGGTCTGGTGTACAGTAGAATTGGCATCACTATCATTGTATAGGGCTGTTATCAGTATCATTGCATGTTTTTATTTGCGGAATCTTGGTGAGAGGGCAAGCCCGGTGTTTCGAAACAAGGGTTGAACACTTAGTATATAATATCTTAACGCTAAACATTACGTTTGATCTTAAAGCTTATATCTTAAACTTCATGTCTTACATATTAGTATTACATACTACATCTTGCATATCATATTGCTTTGAAGTGTTATAGCTAATATTTATGTATTTTATGTGTTAAATATTAATTTTAAGTATATACAATGTATGTTATGGTTCATGGTTCAGGGCTTGTCGGGGGTTTAGGTTTCAGGGTTCAGGGCTTGCAAGAGGCTTCAGGGTCGAGGGTTTGCAAGAGGTTTTAGGGTTCAGGGTTTGTAAGGGGTGTAGGGTTTGGGTTTCAGGACTTTTCTAAGGACGATGTAGGGTTGTACAGGGGCTGGGACACAGATGGAGGATAACGCAACTTAGCGATTGTGTAATGCGTAGCCCGAAGTAGTGCACTTGCAACCTATGCTTGCTCCTAACCTACCCTGAACTGCAACTGAGCCCCCAAATCCTATAACACTACTAGTATATAACCTGAAGGCTAAACGCTAAACCCGAAAGCCCTCGGCCGCCGAACCTTAAAAATCTTCGGACAGATTCGGCCTCCTCGAATTGCATTTGCTCGTCGTACGGCCTCGCAGCAGCCCACTCTTAAAGGTCATATCGACGGTTCTTTTCAGGATTCAAGCACAAGATTTCACCAGATGTCTATGAAGCTGTAGGAAGACTCAACCTTCGGGCTTGGGAGGTTTAGGCAATCTCTCACTATCAACTTGTAGCATCAGCTACCGAGCTCCAGCCTTTTCGGCTCTAATTCGGAACGCTTCGAAGACAAAGCGGCCTGGCACATGGACCGTAGATACTGGGGCCCTTAAGCCTTTAAACCTTGCCCCCCCCCCCCCAGATAGCTAACTGGATATTAAAACCATAACCCTGGCACTTCCAATATTTACTTCCGTCCCACTCAGGCCCCTGGCGAAATTCGAAACACACAAACTCTTCGAGGATCACCCACTAGCCTGAGACTTGGCGCCTCCAGCTTGCGGAAGCCTAATGGGCTGATGGTAAATTGTTGACTTCAAGGCAAATTCCGGGAAATAAACCCTCAGCCAAGGCCCTTTGAAGCATCGTAAACAGGCTATAAACCAAAACCCTAAAGAACTTAACTTTTGACCTCGCCGACGGGCAGTTGGATCCGGACGGCTGTAGCATGGTGTAACAAAAGGTCCTGAATCCTGTCCCAGATCAACCGGCCTTCTTAAAGCCAAAACCCCGTTAAACCCACATAAAGTCACATAGACTCTAAGCCCAAACATTTGCTCACTTGATCTTGTCTATATGCAGCTTTCTCAAAAAGGCCTGCAGCTCGATCTGAAGTTTAGGTTCGAACCTCAAACTCCTGAACCCTAACAGCGCACTATTGGCATGGTCGCATAGCGCAAGTTTGCGCAGCCCAAACTGCGGCCCAGCATCAAGGGAAGAACTTAGGGCTTAGAGGCCAGACGCCAGTCTTCACGTGACTAGACGAGAAGTTATGCAGAAAAGCTTGAACCCTGATGCCTCATGAAGAGCTGCAGCATTCCACGCACTGGTGCATAGTCGCCTCTTTCCTGAAGAGTCTCTGGGCTCGAAGGACTCCCTTCTTTTTTTGCGAATACCTTTTCAACGCGGCATGATGAAACCAAATGTGAATGTGGAGTTTCATTGGTTCCGTATGGCTTTGGCGGCTCAGGGCTGGCTATGTGGGAAGGGCTGACGAGACGGGATTTGTGCTTGCGGCATGACAACAGGGAGTTGTGTTTTCAGAGTTTGACGACTCTTTGAGCTTGGGGGTAAGGGTTCATGGTGTAAGTCCTGATTTTATCTGGCTTAGGCTCATAAAGCGAGCCCAAACTCTCGATGAACTCACTCAGCTTTTCGAGCCGCAAAAGTTAACAAACCCAATATAGGGATTCTTGATACTTGGCAGGAGGGTTTGGGCTAAATTGTGCTGCAGTCGTGAGAAGGAAGTTCTTGTTATTGTTATTTATCTTTCCTTCCTGTTATTATTGCATTAATATTATTATTGTTATTACTGTCATTGTTCATTCCTATTACTACTGCTGCCATTATTAGTAGCATTATTAATATTCTTACCATTATTATGACTTATCTATATTACAGTCGCGCACCCAGGCTCTGGATTCGTCTACCTCAAACTTTGAACCCTACCCTCTGGACCTCAGGTGGACTCTTTTCAGGGCCTTCATAGCTGGATAGAGCTCGAAGGTTTAGGGTTTAGGGGTTAGGATAAATCATCATGATAAAAATAAGAATAACAACAATAGCAGTAGTAGTAACATTGAATAATGACAGTAATGGCCATACTATTCGTACTAACAATAATGAATAATGACAATGACAGGGCTCGGAGGCTTTTGTTCTATTAAACCTATGCAAGGACTGAAGGATCATTCGAAGGCCCAGCCTATGAAATGCGATGAATCGTGCAGTTGAAGCTCGGCAGCTTCATAAGCTTCGAAGAGCATCCAGTTCCTCCACACGGAGACTCCGAATCCCCAACCCCAAATCCTGAATCTTGGGCCGTAAAGCCCTAACCCTAACCCAGACCCTAATGTTGGGGCTTCCGTTCGAAAAGCCTGCGTTCGCGCGGATGGGGCACGCGCACAACTGAATCAACAAACACACTTTGGGTTCAAAGGCCTCAATGAGGTGGGATGAAGGTGAGCAGGGTTTTTAAGGATAACTTGTATTTTGTGAATAATCTACCTACTCACCTTCATTCCACCCTTGACACCCCCATCCCAGAATAAGGTTCCCTGCCTGATGGCCTGCTGCAACATGTCCAAAAATTCTGACGAAGCAGCCGTTCCAGGGAGTCGAGCCCCAGAAACACGCCACCCAAGCCCTCGACCCGGACAGCCCAAACTCTCGCCTGAAAAAACCCTACCTGGAGCTGTCCTAAATTCTGGGGTTCCATGTTTAAAATCTGTTGGGGCCCCTGTCTTCTGAGATTTTGCGTCTAGACCTCCAAGTTACCTTCAAGAGTTGCTGTTGGTGAGTTGGGCACCTAGGCACACCCTTGCAACATCTCAGCCCAAGCCGAAATCCCAAAACACCGAAAGCCTGCAAGAAATCATCGGCCTTCTAAAACGCCCTTTTCAGCATGGGCTTGGCTTGTGGATTGTCCGCCCCCAAACTCCTAAACCCTAATACTCCTCTAAAACTATACCCTTACTCCTAAACACCTAAAGCCATGAACTATATTACCCGAATTAATGCTTAAGCTCCTAAACTCTAAACTATTACGAACTATATTACCCTAGCGCCTAAGCTCCTAAACCATAAACCCTAAACCCTAAGCTCCTAAACCCTAAACCCGAAGCTCCTAAACCCTGAACTCCTAAAGCGTTGCAGGGACCAGCCGGAACCTTGCGACGTATTTCGGCGAGGCGGCCAGCATCTCCGACAGCCGTGCAGCTTTGTCACGGCCGTCCTGGACTAGGGTTTAGGGTTAATAGGGATTATAGGGATTATCGGGATTATGGGGTTCAGGGTTGAGGGGTTTAGGGGTTTGGGGGTTTAGGGTTCAGGGGTTTGCGGCTGAGGGGTTTAGGAGTTTAGGGTTTAGGGGTTTCGGTGTTTAGGGGTTTGGGGGTTCAGGGCTTTGTGGGTTTAGGGTCTAGGTTTGGGGGTTTTGTGGGTTTTCAGTTAACGACTTTATTAATATAAAGGCTTAGCGCTTTCGGGTCTAGGTCTTGGGAAAACCCTCAGCCGTAGCAGCCATAGCACCTTCGATGCCAGGAGCGGACTTGGTCACAAACCGCTTCATGCATCAATGACGAACTCTGCATCTCACTCGTATTCTCTTGAAGCACTATCCGTCACTATCCTCATGCACTTAAATTGAATCCCGAGGACAACTTTCAACTCGCGATGCCAAGGTCTTAACACTTAGACCAACACGTCTTGGGGGTGTCCTTGTTCACCCGATCTGCGTAACGGCGAAGCCACCTCAACGGAACTGCGAAGGAATTGCCACAAGCGGTCAACCCCCCAAGTCAAGCCAATCTTCACGATGAATGCAAGCTGAAGCCAGGGAACTAGGACTACAGGTGCAAATCTTCAACTCTGGCGACGGAACATCCCGGAAGACCGCAGGCAGCAATGAAAAACAAGTTAAGGGTCGGTGTAGACAAGCGGTTTAGGGTTGTGGACAAGTCTAGTGCCAAGCTGCGCAGCCCAAATGTGCCGGCCGTCACCGCTTGGAGCCTGTGTCCAACGGGCCCGCAGCCGCTGCAGAACGTCTTCGGGTTTTCAAGTACCTACAACACCCAAACCCCCTAAACCCTATAACCCTGATAACCCTGGCAACCCCTAAACCCTAAACCCCTAACCCCCTAAACCCTATAACCCTGATAAACAAGACTGTGCAGCTGCAGGACTCCAAGGTTTTACGAGATGAAAGGCCGCAGGGTCATCGGCCTGAATCTGAAGCATCGCGAGTGTGGATACAGTGTGCTGGCATTTACTGTTCTCTTTTGAAGTCTTGTTGCGTCATCATCATCATCATCATCATCATCATCGTCGGCAGCATCGTGGTAGTAATGCTAATGAAGATGTCAAGAGTATTTAGCTTGACAGGAAAACCTGAAGCCAAGCGACTTCGAACCGTGCCCGCACCTCAAGCTCTCGTCGCGAGGCATCCAAGCCGAACCCGACTACACCTGCCAGGATCCCTAAACCCTAAACCCTAAACCCGAATACATCTTGCAACGGAAGTCTACTCCAGACCGGATCCGAAGTTCCCCACATGCAAACATCAACGCGGAGAGTGTGCTGCGGCCTATCATGAGTAGTCGTGGCAACAACAGTGTCAACACGTTTCCTGCCGATATCATGAATTTATCTACCTGTCGATTTCAGCAGCCCCCAAAATGATTCAGAATTAGGACTCTGTAATAAGCAATAAGAGAAATAACAAACTACCCCAAATCGATACCTAGATATAGTGACTTTGTCTAACTCTTCCACTGGTTGTCGTGCTTGTTGCCATTGCCGCTCCTGCCGGTGCTGTTGCTGTTGCAGGTGGTGCTGTTGCTGTTCCTGTTGCTGCTAGGCTCTCTCTGCCAGAACCGGGAAACTTGCGCGAGGTAATATAGGGGCCTTAATACTTAGAATAGGGTTTGGGGGCATATTATACTATAATTATAGTAAGNNCCCCCCCAAAAAAAAAAAATAGTATAGGTAATTATTTAGGCCCATATATTAAATGCCTCAATGAAAGCGCGGCCGAGCTGTCCGACATCCGGCTGGTCGATGTCCTTTCTGCTCGGGGAGTTCTGACACACTTCTTTGGAGCCTAAACCCTAAACCCTAACCCCTAAACCCCTAAACCCTAAACCTTTGTGCCAAGATCGATTGCCCCGCCGACCATAAGGTCGTAAAGCTGATTACAAGTGCATCACAGCTTCGTGAGGCGCTAGGAGAGCTCCCCGGGTTTCCAGGCTTTGTTGCGATGGTTCAAGTATCGGGGAGCATTCTTCAGCACGTTCCATGGGGCATCTCGAGGTTTGGAGCTTTAGGGATCAGGGGGTTTCAGATCTGGGGCTAGGGTTCCATGACCTACATTTTAGGGAGAAATGGCTTCAAGGTGTAGGGTCGGGACAATGCTCCACACTCAGGCAGGTTGAGACTTTTGGGCAGCCCATCTAAACAGGAAGCGGCCCGCAATCCCAAGCTTGAGAGAAGCATTCAGTTCTTGCGAGCCCTCCTCCCGGCACACCCTAATCTCTAAACCCTAGTGTATACCCTAAACCCTACACCCAACATCCCATCCTAAGCCCTAAACCCTAGTTCAGTCAAGCATCTACGCCAGACAGAAGCCGGAAGAGGATTGTGAAGTCAGCGCCGGTCTTCGCCATGACATCCTCAAAACAAGGATAAGCGCTTGGGATCAAGGATAACGTCTTAGAGTCTAGGATAAGTCTTTGTCCCCAACATGCCAATCTAAGCCTGCAGCCTTTCCTGGAAAACCTGAAGTCTGAACCCGTACCAATACAGAGCTCCAAATCTTCCCCAGCCTCATAACTTAAACCCTAAACCCCCAAACCCTAAACCCTAAATCCCAAACCCTAAACGACGCAGACTAAACCCTAAACCCAGTGTCTGTCAACCCGAGCTTCCAGTAGGTCCGACCAAAGCTGCTGTGCCTGGTCGAGCCGTCTTTTAAGCGCCCGTAGGATGAGGGTTCTATATCCTAGCGGCCTTCATAATCGAGGAGGTTCTGGAAGGCTTCCTTGAGCTTTCTGTAGGGGTTTCTATCAGGGTTGCAGCACAAATGGGGCGTAAATATCGGGAGGAGGGCTTCAGGATGTTAGGGTTTAGGGGTGTAGGGATGTATTCTGTTTACTGCTTCTTTATATCACCAGCAGCTTTGTGGCGAGGGATTCCATTCTGAAACTTCGATATTATCTGGGGTCTGATGGGAGCTCCTAGAAAAACCTGCCTTAAGATACACCTCCCAAAGCCGGATCCTCAATGTAAGGAACACCTCCCTCCGCAACACAAAGGGCTACATGAAAGAAAGCTGCCAAGGTTATGGCTTGTGAAGTATTCATGACGAAACGCTTGAACTAGGTCTATGGTTTTTAGCCTTCGGGATTCAAGCTCATGAGTTTAGGTTCAACACTTTAGACGTACTGTTTAGGTTTCGGGCTTAGGCTTCTTAGGGGTGCAGGAATCGAGATTGCCTCTAACGGATGTGCACTGCCATGTCAGACTTTCTGAACGTACCGTAGCCCAAACCACCTAAATCGTCCCCCAGTTCCTAAGCCAAACCCTGAAGCAATGCCAAATGAAGTCGTGGACTGTACCATAAAAACCCCATGTAGGCCTGTACCAGGCCCAGCAGCTTGAACCGAAACTTTATACACAAAACCCTAAGCCCTAAACCCTAAACCGCAAGCTCTTAATCCTAAGCCCTTAACCTAATCCTAAACCCGGGCGAGCCCTCCCTCGACTGCCCCAAAAGGCGCCTGGCCATCCCAGCGTTGTAGGCCCAGCTTGCGCCGGCAGCATTCTGCGTGTGCCTCTGCCCGGAGACTTGTGAGGCTTTCCAGGGTTCAGGGTTCCAGGGTCTTAGAGCTTTAGGCTTTAACCCCAAAACCTGACCCATTAAGTTTTAACGGCGTCTAGGATGGGTCATCTGGGTGGTTTGAGCACTTGCAGGCTTGGAAGATTGTCAGCGTGGGTACATGGCTTCAGAGTAAGCCTTTGTGGTTTGAAGATCTGCGTATGCGGTTGGGGGTGTCGGGTTAGCGGTGCCTGAAGCTTCGTGTATTGTGTATTAGCTCGTAAGCACTTTTAATGGTTTGAGGCACTGCTAAACCCTAAACCCCTGAATCCTAAATCCTAAACCCCTAAACCCATAACCCCGAAACGCCTAAACCTTAAGCCCTTAAACCCTTAAGCCCTACAACTGCAGAGTTGAAGGTTTCTTGGACATACGGCCAAGGCTTCCCAAGTGAAAAAGTTGGTGGGCTTCGGCGTGACGAGCCGTCACTAGCCCGCCAATTCTCTCGCCTGCTGCTGCGAATACATCGAACGACAATCTGCAGGTTTAAGAATTGAGTGCCTATTCACGTGATGCTTGTCGACGTGTGGCGGCATTGAAGCCTAAACCCTCAACTAAATCCTCCGACACGCGCCTGTGCTTATGTTTCTACACTGAGCCTCGGATCTGAACTTGAAGTATGGTGTCCCCCCCGCCTTTGGACACGAGAGTTGGAAACCACAGCCGAATTGAAACTCGAGCGAAGAGACTGACGAGGGATCGCGCAATTATATACAATACCCCCAATCCAAGCATCACATCAAATGTTGCTTCTTAGTCATCTGAGAATACCTGTGAGCTTCAAATCTGGCAAAAGTCATTACAGCGGCTTCATGCGGCGGGACGGTTTGTCAAGCAAAGCTGTTGCATATTCATCTTTTGGCGGCGATGGACATTCCAAATGGGTCGAAAGTGGGCAGCGGGCACTGTTGCTGAACCCACCTGAGCATTGGTCATCTGAACATTTCGCCACCGTGCTTTCACCAGCTAGCCCGAAATCCTAAAAACCTCCAACGGCCTGGTCGAATCTCATGTCGAAATCCTGCAGGAGCTGCTGCAGCTTAAGCTGGCAGTCCTGGTCCGTTAACCGTCCGTCAGCACAGACTCAAACTAACAAAATGAAATACCCCGACAGGTCAGGGGGCGGATACTTTTTTAGTCCGCCCTGCCCCTCCCCCCCCCTCCCCCAACCCACCTGTGACTTCATATCTAGACGTACAGTACATGTGCTGTAGGCACAAAGGTCAACAATTTCGTTACTCTGCCGCCAGAAACCTCCAATGTGCCACAACTTACGCGGGCAGCTTCTTGGGCCTAAACCTCTACTAGAAAAGGCGTAATTATCAAACCTGGAATGCATCGCCTTGATTGTTGCACAACTGCACAGATTGCAAATGACCAGGAATAACAACAGCCGTAAAAGGTGATGCTGATCACAAAAATGCCCCCCCCCCCAAAAAAAAAACAAAAATATGCAAATAGTATGAGGGTTACCAGACCAAATGCATCCTGCAGAATGACTTGACGATTGAAAGCATCTCCGATATCATCCGCTTTTTGGCAGACTCCCACCTGCCCCTGAGCCCTAGGTCTGATACACTGCGGGCGACAAGGAACGACCGCAATGACAAAACAACGGACATCAATGCCGCTGCGGGTGATTCGTGCAGCAAGCACTTGACGCAACCCCAGGAGACTACTTTAGCAAGTTCAAACTCTGAAGGCCTTCTACCAGCTCAGATGTGAAGATAGTGAAGAAGCAACTGACATCTCCAATTTCTGTCTTACAAGGACTGGTCAGATGGAATAAAGGCCTCACGAACCGAAGCAGGGCAACAATCCCACCATGAGCAGAGCTTTGCATGGTCTCTCAGATACCCAAACCCTAAGACCCTACTTGGACGTTCATGGGTAGTTATAAGTGGGGTTATAAGTCCCCTATTTTGGGTTATAACTATAGTTACCCTACTTTATAACCCCACTTATAACTACCCATGAACCTCCAAGTACCCAACCTAAAGACCCTAAGCCTACTTCCGTCGCTCCGACTGCTCGCTTCCGCTGAGGCCGCTGGGCAAGGACTCCGCCAAAACACGGGCCTTGCTTTTTGTTACTGGTCTTGATGGCGTGAAACACTTTTTGTGCTTAAGGTAAGGCTTTCTCGGGGTTCAAGGTTTCCTAGGAGGCTAAACAGATTGATTTTTTCTTCTCAATCTTTCTCCGACTTTTTAACTTGGCTTCAGCACTTGTATCTCAAAAAGCCCGGTGCAGGTTTCGAAGGTCTTGGACTCAAAACCAGTCGGAGACTTGCTGAACCCTAAACCTGGTTGAGGGATCTGAAAGCCTTTATTCGTCATTTTGTCGAAGCTTCGCCTGCTTCCAGAAAATGCCCAACTCCAATACGCTAGACTCTGGGATGTTAGAACCCTGAAGCCCTAAACCTGTGTCAGGTGGCATTGGCAGCAGCTGCGGTAGGTTGACGCTGGAAGGCATAGTTGCCTTGACTTGCTTCGGGGCTGCATGCTTTCTGAGCGAGCTGCAAGCCCTTGGAAGCTGTACTACTGTATCAATTCATGTAGTCCCCTAATTACCCCCCTTCCTTAGAGGGTCTTGATACGAAGATCCTGATTGTAATTCTTTGCCGTTAAGGGAAGAGGCGTCATGAACCAGGTGTTTACAGTACTAGTAACCCGAAACGGAGGCATAAAGCCCTGTGTGAGTGTCTCTCCGCCTTGCCCCCAACCAACCCATTTTTCGGGGGTGCTGTCGGGCCCCATAAGTAAAAGAGGCTTTTGAGACATAATATAGTGTGAGTGTATGCAGTCAACAACCACCACTATGATGACGCCGACTCCGATGCCGACGCCGCCGCCACCGTCGCCATCCCTCCGCAGCAGCCTCCACCACCAACACCACCACCAGCAGAACCAGCACCAGCACAAGCAACAGCACCGACGCCGGCACCGGCACCACACAATCGCAATCACCACAGCAACAAAGCAAACAAGTAAACAAGCAAACAGGCAAGCAAGCAGGCAAGCAAGCAAGCAAGCACAGCGACAACCACAACCCCAACCACGACCATGACGACAACGACAAAGACCAAGACAAAAACAAGATCACAACAAGCGACAGCATACACCCCGGCACCCCGAAACACATCTGCAGCCGCTGAGACCTTTTTTGTCGGAGGTGAAGGGTTGGAAGTGAGGGTCGAAGCGCTCCTTTCCGTGGCCCACTCTCATGGCTTACTGGGTAGTTATAAGTGGGGTTATAAGTAGGGCAACTATAGTTATAACCCATATTAAGGGTAACTTATAGCCCACTTATAGCTACCCATGAACCTCCAAGTAGGGATTATGGATTCAGGGTTTCGACTCTCACACTCGCTCGCAGCAGGCAAGGCTCCTCAGATTCAGGGTTTAGAGGCTTGAAGATTTGCTTTGGCTTTAGGGCTGTGAGGTTCCGAGTTTAGGGCTCGGGATTGTGAATGCTGAAGCTCATGAGAGGCACCGGAACGAATTGCTAGTACCTTGCTTTTGCCACCGCTTTACCAGTAATATGCGGGGTGGTCTCCCATACCCACTAAACCCTCACCCCCACATCCCTGTATACAGCCTGAAAGCAACAAGCCAAGCACTGATCCGGAATACAATGGCATTTCGAACACTTCGTATAGCCCCACGCTCGAAGCCTATCTATCTGTCAGCACTGTGTCCTGAACCCAAAACATTAAGCCATTATGCATCACATACAGATCTGGATAAGTGGCATTACTATCCCCATCGTCCTAATAAAGCCATAGGGTTTCTCTTGAGGCCCCACTCCAATTAGCGTACTGTGATATGCACTTTCCGAGGCCCTGATCCTGAAGCCTAGCCCACAACCTACATCCTAAACCCTGGTCCAAAACTTTCCAAAACCCTAAACCCTAAACCCTTAGTATACCCCCCACAAAACCTGCCCAAAGCTTAAGACCATGCAGCGAGGAAGGCAAATGGCCCGTAGTCGAGCGTATGGCCACAAAGAAGGCAGTTGTCTGAATTCATGTTTCCTTGGGTCTCTGGTCTTCGGCGTATTCAGGTTTCCTTGGGCTTAGGGTTTTGGGTTTATGCAGTTTTTCAATTTTCCTATGGTTTAAGGGCCTGGGGATTGAGGGGGTGCAAAAGCTAAACGGCTTTCGGGGTTTCGGCCTCTAGGGCTGGCAGGTCTTTTTAGGGCTTCGGTTTGTTTAGGTTTTAGAGTTGAATTTTCCCAGCTCCTGGGCAAGCTTACACTTTCCGGTTACATGGGGTCTCAAAATAAAAGGGCTGGCAAGCTCAGCTTCTGAGGCTTGCTCTGCCCCTCTCGGCCCAGCCGAGCTTATAGGTTTACAGAATCGCAAAACACAAGGCACTGCAGCGTCACTTCAGAAGTCCAAAGCCGCTAACCCCGCAAAACCCTAAACCCTACCCCCAAAATTGAAGCCCGAACCTCTAAACTGGCAAGACTCCATGCACATATCCCACCCTGAGCCACTCTGCCACCAGCTCCGCTTGCTTTGAGAGGAACTCGTCGAAGAAGGCCACGATCGAATCCGCGAGCCGACTTGAGGGCAAGCGGAGGCTCTCCTGACATAGAGACGCAATACAAGCTACTATAATAGGGCTCCCTTTAAGGGTGGTATAGGATACGATAATAGGGTCTCCCCTTTAGAAAACCGATTTAGCGTTTCGACTCACAAACTCGCAAGGCAGGCATGGTAAGCGTCATCGATATAGCGTTTAGGGTTTCTACAGTTTAGGGTTTAAGGTTTGAAATCTCACTGTCGCACAAGGCAGGCAAGGCTCCTCATAAGGGTTTAGGGTTGTTTCTTTGCCTCCTACTTCGCAAGGACGAGCCCGCATGTCAGGGTTAAACAAGTCGGACACACTTCAGTCTTTACCAGGTGGTTCAATTCTAGACAGACAGGTTTTATTGAAAGTAGGGGACCGAACCCTTACTTGTGATATCTATGAAGATCCCATCAGTGATTACTAAACCAGCACGAGTGTCGTTTTTGCTGCGGTTGCTGTGAGTTGGCAGTTTTCGAAACTGCACGGGTTAGAGCTATATATGTGAGTCATTGGTTCAGGCTTGAAAGCTTCGTATTAGGTAAACTCTAGACTCTATTAGTCTATACCCTCAAGCATTCCATGCAGCACGATGCCCCAAAACTGTAGGTCCCTGAACCCTAACACACTCTAATTAACATTGAATCTTGAGCAGGAAGGCATTGTCTTTCAATTCTGCCGGGAGGTTTTAGGGTTCCAAGGTTTGGGGCCTTGAGGGGTTGGGCTGTGGGCTTACTATAATTATGATAGTCTTACGCTCAATGGGTTGAGGACTGCAGGTAAGATTTCTCATCAGCTCCTGCTTTATGAGGTGCCAGAGCAAGTCGTTCAGCTCTTCCGGACCCCGCCGTGCAAAGAGTTCAACGTGGCCCACGCGCCAAAAGGACGGCGAGCAGCGGCAAAGCACGGCTGCACGCTCCTGCAACGGCTGAAAGCCCGCTAAACCCGCTTTTCGCCCTGAGCCGTAAAAGTTGCTTCAATAGTCTCCAAATTTTTAGTTGTGATCAAGGCTCTAGATTAAGCAATTAGGGAAACTATCAATTTTCACACATCGATAATTCAAGGCCTCTCGGTTAATCGAATTTCGCCGGGCTTGGATCATAGATGCTTGATTCCTGGGTTTAGGGTTCATGGTGTAGGAGCTTGAGTCCTGGGTTTGAGATTTCGACTCCGAACAAGGGTTTAAACCGAGCCCCGCGGCCGGGGCACCAACAGCTCCAAGGTCTCAGTAGTCGGGGCCTGAATAAATATAAAATTAAAAAGGCTCAAACAGTATAGTGTAGCCCAAAATCCGATGCTAATTATTAAGGCCCCTTTCATATACATACAAACCGGAGTTTGGAAGTCCTGCGAATTGCGGAGGTTTCGGATGTCGAGGGGTCAGCACCGAACAAGACGCGCCGCATGAATGTACTGCAGGGCCTTGAGGTTATTGGATGTGAAACCTCCGCGGCAACTCCATTGTAAGGTTTAGTCGGGGTTTATGCCTCCTGAGCTGTGTGTTGAGCACAAGTCCAATGTGCAACAATGACGCAACATGTGTTTCGAAGGTGCCGGTAACCAACAAAAGTCTCAATCAATCCCATCGAACCCTAAACTTAAGACTTAAGCCTCAAACCCTCAAATTTCCTAAGCCTCAAGTCTCAAAGCCTAACCCCCAATGCGCCTCGGCTAATCCCTATGAGCCCTAAACCCGGACCACGAAAGCCTCAGGCACATACATCTAAAGCCCCCAAACTTACAAACACCCCACGCCGAAACCTTTCAACCCTGACGTGCCCCCAATAAAAATCCTGAACCCTAGAGTGTCCTTCAGCCTCAAGAAACTCCAAATGCACCAAGCCTAAACCCCACGAGCCCCAAGCTAAACAACACCCAAGACCACCCTAAACCCTAAACCCGAATCAACCCCACGTAAGCCCTAATCCGAACTACGTCCGAATCTGCATCCTCTTGGTTACAGCTCGGAGGGTGTGGCGCGGTGGGGGAAGAAAGGCCCGGCGGCAGGTACCTCCGAGCTTGTTTAGGGTTTAGGGTTCGGGGTCTAGCAGGTCAAGTGTTTATTTGCTTTGGGTTTCGGCGTTATTGGGTGCTATCGTCATTTCGAAAGGCTTCAGCGTTTCTTGGCATTCATGCCTATGTATGGTTGTGCGCCGTGCCTTCAGCTCAAGGCCCAAGCCGTGCCACAGGAACATCGGTGGGCCGCAGATGCCGCAGGAAGCTCGTCCGACAGGAAGGGGGGCAGGGGGGATGACCAAATATCCCCTATCGAACGGCTTGGGCCTTGAGCTTGCGTCTGGAATGGTTGGCTGGCTTGGTTCATGTGATCATCCCCCCCTCCTGTTTGTGGAACGGTTGGGGTCTTGAGCTTCGAGTTCAGTCACCCTCACCCTCCCCCCTCTCTCACAGGCAGCCTCTGCACAGGCGCCTAAGGCTCCAGACCTGAGTATCTGGGGCGGCTACCATTGGGGGGGAGGGGAAGGGAAGGGAGGGAAGGGAGGGGAGGCAAACGCACAGCGCACAACCAAAAATAGGAGCGTGGCTTACCAAGGCTCAGGACTAGTCCTGAACACTGCTGTACTCTGCCAGAAAACCTTCAACTATGGACTGGGGCACCATGGGCGTGTCACACGCTGGGACGAGGCCACCAGTGAAAGAGAACGGGTCGTTGGAACACCTGGCAAGCTGCCATGCCCTGATTTCCTTGTAGTTGCAATTGTCACGCTTAAGGTTCAATCTCTATCTGAACGAGTTCAAACCACTATCCTGGGTTCGTGTAACATTCTTAACCCCACAACCCTGCCCTCGAAGTACGTAGCGGTCGGCGATGTTCGGCGCTAACCTCAAGCAGATGTTTGGCAACTGCAACCAAAAATGGGGTCTCGCAACCCTAAATCCAAATTCTCGAACTTTTCGACATCGTCAACCCCGATACCTTTAAGCAGAACCCTCTCTAGGAATCTTGACGAACCTTTTGGAACGCTTCAATGGACCCTGAACAGTATAGACTCCACCAAACCACGGAGCTTGGCACCTTCCCTGCCTGAAGCCCTCAACCCAGAAAGCCCACTGCATCTAAATTACGGAATGTACCTTGATGTACAAGGTGTTTGATAACATGATTTGAAGCATAATCCGTAAGTGTCATCCGAAACAATATCACTGTTTCCAAACCCCCCGCCGAGAGAATGCATCGCTTCGCTTGCGAGAAACTCCCGCACGCTGGACCGAAGAACGGCGCGGCCATCGAAGTTCCGGGAGAAGGGTGTTCCTTAAAGGGTCCGTAAGGAGGTGGACGGCAAAAACATTCTTGACGGAATTCTCTTGCTCTGAAATATCGGACGTACGTCGCGATGGTTCCACGAAAAAACACACCGGACAAGAATGTTTGGTCGCCCTAAACCGTACCAGCTCGTTGTTGTCCCTGCGCAAGGGCGCCGAGAGTCTCCCAGCACCTTTCAGCTGCAATTCCCAGGAGTGGTGAGCTCCGCGGAAGTGGCCCATGGACATAGCCCGGCCATCACCGTAGCCTTGTTGAGGGTTTTCCGTTTGAGCGATTTAAGGGTCAGATTATTCTAGGGCTTGGGGGCTTGAAACTAGGTGGCGTGGGTAGGTGACATGGATCTCATTTGTACTTGAAGGGCACGGGTGTTTAGTGAGAGGGCTATACATACGGCACGAAGTCAGTTAGCTTACACGGTGGACTCATGACCCATTTACATTCCTCATGATCGTTCTAGTATAGGTCCCCTCCGGATTTTGTAGACCTGTTGCCTCGTTTCCTGAGATAGGCAAGGCTGAGCAGCTTTCACTGCTCCTGTAAGCCACCCACAACTTAGTACTTACACACTGTGCCTCAGAGCTGCGCTTTCACCGAAGGCCACCTTTTCGGGGTTTGGGACAATGTGGTAGTCAAGCCAAAACCCTTTCTCCTCAATAGAAGGATGATCTGATTTTCAGGAAGCCTAGATAATACACACCTAACTCCCTAATTATTACTTGCAAAGGGCCAAGTTTTCAAAATGCCCTCCGCCAAGACCTCTGTTAAACCCTAAACGCCCATGCCTCATTTCTCTTAGGATCCGCTGTTCCGGCAGACATATCACGGGCTGTGTGCTTGGCAGTGGCAGGCTCACACTAAACCCTAAAGCGTTGAGTCTATTGAGCGTCTAGGGTTCTGTTGCTGACACGGTGTAGGGGTTTCGAGTTTTGGGGGTGTAGGGGGGTGCGGGTTTAGGGTTCAAGACTTGAGAACTCAACATCCCTTGCCTTCTGATTCATCGTCTGTTCATTCGTGCTTAGTAGTTCGATGGGCATAATATAGGGGCCTTAGTGATTAGAATAGGGCTTTGGGGCCCGTCATACTATGTTCATAATAAGGAACCCCCAAAATAGTATAGGTAACTATCAAGGCCCCAAACCCTAAACCCTACATTGGCCTGGAAGCCGCTGAGAAAACGCCAAGACACCCCACAGGCCAAATGGGGAATCCGCAGAGAAGCTTCCGTTGACAGATGCGCCGTAAGGTGTAGCCTAGGGTTTAGGGTTTAGGGTTCGGGGTTAAGGGTTTAGGGCCTTCGGTTCGAGTTGGAAGTGGTTTCTGTAGTGTTTGTGACATGACCGACATCAGAAGATCTTTAGGGCATGTCAGAGCTTGAGGTTCAGGGGACTGCCAGTAAGGAACATCCAAGCTAGTTCGTTGCAGTACTTTCGCAGTTGAATTCGGAGACACCAGCCCGAAGAACTCGAAAAGCCACACCCTACCCCATGATCCAGATAACACCCGATCAGAACACGGCACCTTTGGGAAGTAAGGGACTAAAACCGAAACTGTACTCCGGCCAGCAGCCCACGCCATAGCTTCAATACCCGGAGGCCAGTTGCCAGAAAAGGTTTCCAGGAATTCAGACGTCTCCGTCTCTGTGGCCGCAATGCCAAGCTCGGCAGACATGCTTTCTGACACAGCAACGACCTGCACGGCTTCTGTTTACGCTTTTTGACTCTTAGCCGGTGCCTTTTCAAGCCTGAACCCTAAACCCTGAACTCTAAACCGATATGCTATTCAGCCTCGCCATCCTAAAGCCTGCCTTCCAAAGAACCTGCACTACGCTACTCTAGATGAAACTTGGGCTGGCACTTGAAAGCGTAGCTTTCTTTGGGATAGAGTTGGGGCCCCTGATCATTGCAGAGACAAGGTGTTGAGCTGGCTCCTACTATACCCGAGCTGTAACCGTGCAACATCGTCTCGGGTCTTCCTGTTACATGTTGTTCTGCAGCCCGAAGCCCTAAATCTTAACAGCTGTGGTCTACCAGAGCTTGAGAGCGACGTTGGTGCATTGCAGCGCCTAGGTTCCCTGACTGACAATAACGCTTAAGCCAGACCGTGTAGCATGTATCTGTACGGGCCTCAGCCAAGGCCAGTGGGATGTATAAACATATGGGCCGCGGTTATAATTATCTGCTTGGTGGCCACTTGTATTATAAGCTGTTGTGTCCGGGTAACATATGATAATGTAATCCCTTCCCCCTAATATTAAACGGGGGGGGGGGGGCTCCCCCCAATAGATACTCGGAAAGTGTTTCATTACTAGGGGGTATTTGTATCTATACTGTCAGATTTGGGTACAATTACGGCCGCTCCGCACGGGCATGCTCAGAGAGGGCCTGTGAAACCTGACTTAGTCCTTTCAGACAGACAGGCAGTCAGGCCTGCAGATTTAGGAAAGTGTGAGGCAGGCTTCGGACAGCCATGCTCACAGACCGAGCTGCAGACAGGCCGTCGCAGCTGAGAAAAGACCGACAGCTGGCAACCAGGGAGGCTCACCC